GAGATGGGGTGGCTGGGGGTGGGAGAGGGAGTGGGTGGGGATAGATGGGAGGGGGATGGGGTGTAAGTGGATGGGGAGATGGTGGAAGGAGATGGGGGCATGGGGGAGGGAGGCCTGGGTCCGTGCAGAGGCCGGGAGCTCCCCCGAGCCGGGCCTGGGCAAGCGGCCAGCAGCTGGGGGGGACTGCGCTGGGTCATGCGCCTCCGTGTGTGTCTGCTCTGCCCGCGCCCGGCTGCTGCTGGCTCCCCTCCCCCCACCCTGACCTCAGAGCCCACTCCCCTCCCAGAGCCAGGGAGAGAACCCAGGAGTCCTGGCTCCCAGCCCCCCCTGCTCTAGCCACTAGACCCCACTCCCCTCCCAGAGCCATGGAGAGAACCCAGGAGTCCTGGCTCTCTTTTGAGCTCTGTTGCTGCCTCAGTTTCCCTGCTGTAGAAGGGGGGATGGAAGGGAGTGAGCAGCTCCCTGGGGTGGGGGCGGGGTCTCTCCTAGGGGAGGAGCTGGGACGGGTGAGGGACAGGTGACCCCCGCCCCAGTTTCACCGCCAGGATTGGCTCCAGCAACACAAGCTGTGGGTTTTCGTAAGGAAGCCAAAGGGCTTTGGGCTGCGACGGCCCTGGGCGGAGAGACTGCAAAGGGGGAGCGAGTCCCTGGGGCGAATGAGATACGGGGCCCCCGATCTGGCCCCAGGACAGGGACTGGCTGGCTCAGGGGCGGAGAATGGGGCATGGGGCCTTTCCCATTATGGGGGAGGCACTGGCTCCAATCCAGGCTAGAGCAGTTCCACTTATAACCCACGGCTCTCTCTCCACCCCCAGGGGTCACAGCAGAGAGGGGGAGGGGACGGACACCTGGGGTCCTAATTCAATCCACCCGACATGGCCGGATCCCCCCAGGCCGGACACGCTGTGAGTCTCACGTGGCAGCACCTCCTGCTGGCCCTGCTGGAAGGTAAGTCTCTGCCATCCCTGTTCCCCAGCTGCCCCGCCCCAGAGGTGGCTGCATCTCGGCCCCAGGTGAGCCATACATGTGTGGCGTTATGTGTGGCTGTTCCCCAGCTGCCCCACCCCAGAGGTGGCTGCACCTCAGCGCTACATTCTGTCTTTCCAGCGTTGTGTCACAGCCATGTCTCTGGGTCCTGGACATCCTCGCTCCCTGGGACCATCCGGGCTCTGAAGGGTTCCTGTGTGGTCATCCCCTGCTCGTTCACCTACCCCGGCTCCCGCGAGTCCCTGGGCGGTCCATTCAACGTGGTCTGGTACCAGTACCGGAGCAGGGGCTACCCCGAGATCTATAACAGCAAGGGCACGGCCAGCGTGCTGGCCGAGTACCAGGCCCGGACACAGCTGCTGGGGGATCCGGAGATGAAGAACTGCACCCTGAGCATAAACCCCGTGCGGAGCGAGGACGCCATGAGCTACTATGTCTGGATCAACCCCGACTCTGTCAGGCATCGCTTCTACGACATCACAGTCCGGGTGGAGGTGGCAGGTAACTGGAGACCCCCCCACCTCGCACAGGGCATCC